CAATCCCCCTTCTCCCCTGCCTTTGGGTCTGCCCCTGCCCCCCTCCCCCGATGGTTTGGGTCCAACCCCATCCCACCCCCTCTCCCTCCCAGTTCAGACACTTAGACACTCAGCCACAGACATGCACCAGAGCTGAGCTCACACCCTTTTGTATCTCTAAATCACACTGTGCATTCCAACTAATCACACTTTGGGGTCCTTGAGGCCCTTTCCCCCAGACCCCAGACTATGCTTGGAGCTGGCAGCACGATCTGCACTCCCACAAAAACATACAACTCTAACTCATGTAAACTCTATTAACCATTTTATCTAAATATGTGAACTCCAAAACTCATTGCACTCATTCTACACATACTTGATCTTTTAACAACTTACGTAGCTTTCTGTATACTTTTAAGCAGGCACACCACATCCATATCATCCCAGTCAGGGTGAAAATCTCACAAATAATTATGATCACTATGGGATGCAGCATTGTATTAAGCATACCAGAACTAGCTGGGGACCACCCAAAAAGAGGTTCCCACCAGGACTGTCTTCTGGTTTTGGCAACTGTATTTAAAATACTAGTAATTTCCTGGTTGTGATGAGCTATTTCAGTAATTAATTGCTTTGCATTACGTTGGTTCACTTCTAATAATGTCTTAAGTTCTGGATGGTATAGTAGACTTTGCACAACATCCAGATTCATACCAATTGGTGCTGGTTCCAGTTTTTCAAAAATAGTAAAATTCAATTATACCTTAAGAAAAATTGGCTTACGCACTTTAAATTCAAAGTTACAACCTTTTCTAACTGTAATGCTGCATACACTACAGGCAGTATTAAACCAATTCACTTTAAATTTAAACCAATCATTTACCAAAACATGTCAATAACCTGCGTTTACACAGACACAACTTTCATCTACTTGTCTTACTATAGAACTGTTGAAAGTCTTTTCCTCTGGCACTTGATATGCACACTTACAAAGATACTTGTTGATACAAAAGTATCCCCAGTGTAGGTCATGTCCAGGGCAAATAAAATCCAACCCATTTTGAGGAGTACATCTTTCTATATCTACAGACTTCCAACCCTCTGTTTGCATTATAGCCCATTTCCTGTCTAAGATGGGCATAATTACAGACCCAGCGAGCGGGTCTACACATGTAGTTATGCATGCGAAGAAATCCTGCGCTCTCTTTTTCCGTCTCCTGGCCTGAGATAGCCTCAGCGTAGCTTATCACCTGGGCAATGGGGCATAACCTGGAGAAATTTCTGATGGAGGTAGGAGCTCACTCTTCTTTTCTCCTCTGAGGGGCATGTTGGGAGGAGGATCGGCAGTCAATTTGGAACTCACTCACATACAAGGATGTGCCTCCAGAGCTCTCTTACCCTCTGGATATATAAGTAAGTAACTTACCTGAAACTCAGCCAGTATATGAGGGATAAGTATTTTAGTTCTGTATTCAAAGGGTCCTCCAACCCCTTCTGTTTTGCTCAAGGCATTTTTCTCTAAAATCTCTTTGCTCTATATCTACCCCATTACCTCTGTCCCTGAACAGTAAAAGGCTACCTGCATGCAGCGAGCTGGCTCTGGATTCCTGTGGGGAGAGGGGTCAGACAGCCATAGCTCCCTTCGCTCAGCTAGCTAAAGTGGGTGAGGCTTTTTACTTTCTTCCTGTACTGAAGGCTGCTTGTGAATGCTTCCAGCTAATAGAAACCCCTCACATACCCACCGGGGTGGGGGGTAAAGCACCCTCAAGGTCTACAGGGTTGGTGCACCCTGGATGGAACAGAGCACTAACAAAGACCCAAGCCCGGGTTGTGGTGGCAATTGTCCAAGGCTTGTAGGTGTGCTCCAGGAAGTGGGCTGGCCAGATGTAGGCGCCCCAGGGGAGACACCCAAAGTGGGGTTATGGTCGGGCACAGTGAGGAGGGTGGCTCAGTGTAGTAACACCCCCTCCTGTCCTGCCACAATGCATGCCTAAACTTAATGTGCCTTTGTTTACGGTGCATTAAAATGATTTAGATGTGCGTCTACATGTAGACACACTAATGTGCGTTAAGGCACATTAAATTTAGGCTCTCATAGCTAAGTCACATTAACCTACATGTAGCCATGCTAATGTGCATTAATGCATTAATGCAGCATGCGTCCTTTGATGCACACGACATTAATGCACATTAAGTGTCTACATGTGGGCTAATGTGACTTAGCTAATCACGCCTAAATTTGGTACTTGCTTTAAGCAGGTATCAAATTTAAGTGAGATTAGCCTAAAATCACCATTTTTAAGGTTCATTAAGGGTGCACATGTATGGACAGGCAACCTTAATGTGCTTCAAAAATGGCAATTTTAGACTAATCCTGCATAAAAGGGCCATGTGTAGACAAGCCCATTGATGCTTAACCATCCTATGCATCCCCCACTGCCGTTTCCTACATCTTGCCCCCCCGGCCTCTTCACTGGGGAAGGTCCCTGTCCATTTCTCAGCAAGGAGGATTAAGGACAGAGGACCAGTTTATTCTGGACAGAGAGAGAAATGGAAAATGTGGAGAGAATGCAATGGAACAATACAATTCCTCCAAAAAATATAAAACTATCCCCCTTTTCATGTCACCATGATTTGTGGTTATGCTGTTCTGACTAATTAATTCACCATCCAACACAGATTCCCCAGTACAATGGACATAGCTAACTGTGTAAAAATGCTGAATTCAACTCTGAGAGAATGTAATCATGGCACCTTGTCACAGCCCTTCAGGTCTGCTTGTTAGAACAGCCATACTGAGCCATTCCCGGTGGCCACTTCTAGTTCCAGGTGGTAGAGCTGAGGTTACAGTTCAT